CATCTCCTTCCCCCCCCCCTCCCCCGACAACGAGCAGGGCTAGGAGGAAATCTGTCGGCACCTTTTGTATCTGCCCCTGATCAACTGTTTGCACCTCCTGACACCTGATCCTTTAACAAACAGAGCGACCCAATCGGGCAGGTTGGCTTTTAACCCAAAGCTAACACGCCCACGCCCTTCAGGGACTGGGCAAAGGCCCCACCCAGCCCCACGCCGTGGAATCAGGATAGCGGGGTTAGCAACCAAACCCATGAGGACTACGCGCATGACAAGGTTCAGAGCCGCGGGGATCCCCGCGGGCGGCCCCGCAAAAGCACAAATCACAGGCTTGAGGGAAGGGAAATGTTGCACCTCGATCTCTGACGCAGAAACACCCCGAAGACCTTTCTCACTGTTGCACAAGAGAGTCCTCCACCCCACAACTCCTTGCAACTAATTGCAAATCTGAGCTCTCCCTTTCTCCTGGATCGCTGGTGCATCCGCCGAAATCAGATTGTGAGAAAGCTCTGCGGATCGAGGTCACGCCAGGTTCCCCGTTCAGACCGGGGGGGGGAAGGGTCGGTCGCCGATCAAGGGGTGGGAAAACTTACCAGGCAGGCAGCTTGTTGGTTTTGTTAAGAGTTAAAAAGACTGGCCGGGAATTCCCCAGCAGCGCACAGTTCCCGGCAGAGGAGGAGCGAAACCGAGAGTGGCGGAGAGGCTGGTTAAAGTGAAAGGGGCTGGAAAGGAAGGGATCGCGCCGCGTGAAAGACGGCCAGAGATTATCAAACCGGGGAAATCATCCGCCCCCAAGTCTGGAAGAAGAGTGGCTTGCTTATGCGTAGTTAGAAGCGCCTTCGCAGCCATCGTAGACTCCATTCAAAGGAGGCGGTGCAGTTAAGCATAACGGCATGGGAAGGAGGGGGTGTTGCTGGACTGGTAAGCAACCAGGAGGCAAATCGAGAGGGGGCGCTCGTTCCAGAAAGGAGTTGCAGCGGGTAATGCGCTTTACCTGTTGAAACGCTGCCTAGCATGAAACTCAAAAAAGATGGAACGAGCGCGCGCGCACACACAGAGAGAGAGGCATATACAGATGCTTGGGACTGTGACTTTCACTTGCCCATGGGCGTATGGACATATGTGGTCATTTCTCCTTGGTCCATAAGGAATTCTTTCCACGGGATTGTAGCTAGGAGGAGGGTTCTGACCTCAGCGGCAGAGCACACCCTTCCCCTGCAGTCCTCCAGTCCAGTCCCTGCATGGCCAGTTGCAGGATCTCAGCGATACCGAAGACCACGGCTGACCAAAATAAGAGAGTGGCTGTCCATCACAGCGGAGAGGCTAGGAGTAGAAGGACCAATAGCCTAACAGAGGCTTGTAGCCACAATATTTATTGTATCTTCACTATGTCTTTCGGATAAAAATCGGCTCCTGGAGGAATTAAAAGCCAATACAATCATCCGTTAAAGTATCACTTCACAGGTACTTGGCATGCAGGTTCAATCCCTGGCTCAATCTCCACTCCAGGCACAAGGTTCGGGTGGGAAGTGACGTGAAAGAACTCTTCCTGAAACCGGCAAGAGCCACAGTCTGTCAGAGTCGATAATAGGGACCTGGACAGGGCAGCATCACTCAATATGAGGCAGTTTTATATATTCATGTGGTCTCCGGGGGGGGGGGCTACTTGCCAACAGGACAGGGTTCTTGACGGGGTGCTTGTAACAGTTGCAGGGCAGCTGGTGTGTCTTTAACACACAGCCGGTTCGCACTAGGGGAGATAAACATTTATCTACCAATATGAATGCTGACTTTGATAATAAAACTGCTTTTAAGTGTAGTGTAGAGCTCAGACTACGCTGAGATAAACGGGATTCAACCCCCGTCACCTATGAAGCAAAAGAACCCGCTGCACAGGTACAGACAAGACCCAAATCCAGGGGGCGGGGCAAAAAGGAATCTTTTTTTTAAAACCAAAACTTTTTTATTTTTTCAATATAATTTACAGTCATAAAATATTGCAAGGGTTGTTAAGGAATCTTTCAGTCTGATGCACACACCATTCCCATAGTAATACTAGCCTCCATCAAAGGTTGTTGTAAGGATTACAGAGACAATGGCTGTGGCCACACATGATAAATAATCCACTTTCAATGCACTTTCCAACTGGATTTTGCCAGTTCACACAGTAAAAACCCGTTGCAAAGTGCACTAAAAGTGGATTATTTAGTGTGTGTGACCGTAGCCAATATATATGAAATTATGTGAACACTGGCAGGTTTTATTAGAAAGCTGGAAATACCCAACGATTGGGCTAGGGGGCTTTCTAACTAAACATTTTAAAATGAACTTTAATTGAACATCTACAATTTAATTTTCAGGCTGGAGAATCCGGTATCAATGGAAACCCTGCCTCTTATATTGTAGATCCTAGTCGTTGTTTGTTTTTCGTCTTCTCAGTCTTTTAGCGCAGTCTACTTTATGCACATATACACGATTAGAAGCTGTTGGCTGCCCTCCGTGCGCATGCGACAAACACGTCTGTAGTTCGCCATCTTTAACAAGCACACGGATGGCCCCCGATAATTTGCCTGGGCGTCAGTCGCCGCGCCGCACATGCGCTGTAAGCGTCTTGGAGCGGTGAGCCGCAAGCCGCCAGAGGCGCAGGCGCCCTAATTTGTTTACAACATCCTTGAACTATCCGGGCGCGCGACACACCCAGCCAGCGAGCTGTACTGCGCACGAGCGTATTGTTTTCGCAGCCTCCGCATCGTCTATGCGCGGCTCGCTGTTACACCCCAGTTCTTCCCAAAGCGCATGCGTAGTTACCCTCCCCCGGTTAAAACTACAGCTCCGCTTTTCGCCTTCCCACTCCGCATGCGCATTGAGAAAAGTAGTCCTCCAAAACTGTGAAGGCTTGGTGTTTTGTTGTCACTTTCGGGTGCTTTTTGGCCCCTTGAATCTTCAGGAGGAGCAGGCGGCCGGCGGGCAAAAGGAGGATTGTACGAGCAGGAAAGGGTGTATGTGTCATTTTCGGTTGTCTTGCTGCTAATCCGTCAGCCATTTTATGTTATGCCTCAGCTAGCTGTTAACGAGGAACGTGGTAAAGCTTCCAGACGGGTAGCCGTGTTGCTCTGTTGCAGCAAAAATAAACAGGAGTCTTGTGGCACCTTAAGGTACGTGTGCTGCAAGACTGCTGTAATTAGGTTTAGGTTCCTGGCCACTAATTTGAAAGTAAGACTGCACTCCGTAGCATTTGCTTTCCCGTATGCATGGAATAGGGTGGCAATTCTATGTACACTTAATTAGAAATACGCTTTAACACTTCTGGCTTCCAGAAATAGTACTTCGGAGTCAATATGCACACTGTATTATGGCTGAACTGTATTATGCGTAATGCTACTGCCGCAGCGGCCAGGCTCTTGATTATGCCAGTGGTTACAGCAGTTGGCTAATTCCCATATTTTGTCGTAAATGACCATTTGGATACTTCCTGCCAAACTGGTGGCAATTTCCTGACCCTCGCTTTTGTCACTTTAGAAGAACACATTTGTGGATCTTAATTCTTCACCTTAATTTTTTTTTTAAGTTTGAAGCAATTGTGAAAGACAAATTGTAATCAAAGGTGCTGGTAAATCTACCTGGGCCTAGGGTTACCAGCCTGCAGGTGGTGGCTGGAGATCTGCTATTGCAACTGAACTCAGGTGACAGAGGTCAGTTCTCCTGGGAAAATGGCCACTATGGCATTGTGCACCAAATCCCATTCTTCTCAGGCTCCACCCAAAAAAATCTCCAGCTATTTCCCAACCTGAAGCTGGGCAATACCTAGCCTGCTGTCACCTAGACACTAGTAGGCTATGATCCTGCGTTTTGGTGGAACTTTCAGTACTGTTTGCACAACTCTTAAATGCAAAATTATGAACTGAATGGTCGGGTTCACAAAATTGATAATGCAGACCCTATACATGTGTACATAAATCTGGTGCATATTAAAGTAGTTTGCCTAACCATATGCACTGTTGTGGCACAAAAAGTGTGCCTTGAATTGTAGACTTGCATTTTGCCCAAGCAGAAAATCAGAAACCACCACCCAATTTACCATATACTAACCACCATCTCTCAGTACCTTGTTGTGCATTTGGCCTCCCGCCCACCCGCCTCCGGCCCTTGCAGCTGCTGCCGACAACAGCCACGGCCATAACTTTTGAAAGAACCCCTAACGGGAGCTGGGGGAGCCGGAATGACCTCTCGAGTGTGATGTCTGAGCGGCAAGGTGGAATTTGCCCCTAGGAGTCCAAGGAACATTTCGCCCCCCCCCCCCGCGGCCGTTGCAGCTGCTGCTGA